CCTCCCTGGCATTTCTCTCTATCTTAAATCTTCTGTGTCTAAGTCAAGCTAGATTCTTCTTTTCTTAAAGTACATATTATGTATCATGCTGATCATGATCTCTCTACTCCATTTCGTCTCGTTATGAGCAAAGCCATTAAGAGCATTGCTTCAGAGGCAGTCAAATTCCAAAAACCATTTCTCTCCAACAGCCATCTGGGCAGCGGGGAAGCAGTAAGGATTCCCAGGTCAGAGTCAACCCTCAGGAACAAAAGCACAGACGAGGAGAGGCACATGCTGAACTTCCAGGCCGAGCAACGATGTCAGCTGAGCCAATGGCCTGAATTGATGATTTTGGTTTTTTGGTCAGTCAGACTACTCAAACTTCTCCCTCTACCAAACCCCATGCCTTTCATCTTGCGTATTCATTTTCATCTCCCTTTCTTTTTTGCCTGCTTTCAGTTCCTAAGTCTTCTCTCTGCAATTGATCTGAAAGTTTATTGAAATCAGAAAAAGCAGCAGTGATTTCCATCTTCTTAGTCGTGCTCAGAGTCATTTCGGGACTGCTGTGCTATAAATTTTCCTGTTGCTTTTTTTACAATAATTTACAGAGAGTGTCAGATTTCTTTACTGAAATATTGTCCCTTATGTGCTTATAAACTCCTGGATAGTGTTTATAAAATCCTTGACTTTTGTAGCAATTAACAGTAATTACTTATGGAACAATACGGTTCATCCAGTCTGGGATAATTAGCAAAGCTCTGCAATTCTGAAAAACCCACATAGTCATAAAAGTGGATACCAATGGCACGGAGCTAATGCTTTTTGATTATCCTATTGCAGGAGAGCATTAGTACTGCTGTATCAATAACATCAAGCTTATGCTAAAATGGCAGCAAGTTGGCAAGAAGGATCTGGTATTTTTTTTTCATGATGCCCTCCAACTTTGCCTGATGGAGACACTACAATAAATAGAAGTGGAGGCTGCATACATTAGTTGTAGAGTAGCCCTACCAATGCAAACAGCACAGGAGATGAAAAACCACCTCCAAAACTCTTATTCTAAACTTGAAATTATATTTCAGCCTTTGTTGTTACATTTCATGTGGTGCATACATAATGCCATTATATGGCTCCTCAGAACACGGAGAAAACAAAATTGAATCCTGAATGACTTCATGTGACTGGAAGAGGACTTTTTTAAGCAGGGCTCATAATTAGTGCCAGCACTTCATACTCTGTGCTTAATTTGGGAGTGATTGCCAGAAGGAATACTTAATCCCTTGTGTTTACTGAACTTAGAGGGTTTCTGAACTACAGAACATTTGAGAAAGGGAAGAGTGAGAGTGCAAAGCTCAGTGCTTGGGATGGTCTTTGTATTTCAATCATGCTGTGAGCATGTGGTGTTCTGAAATTCAGAGATTTCATTGGCTTGTTACATGCAGGAAATACAGTCCAGCAGTGAGGTGAGGGGACATGGTTTTAAGAAACTTGAACTCTGGCCAACGAAAGAGTTGCTCTGATAATAACCATGTGGCTGCAGAATCTGCTGCTCCTGTTCAAGCTATTGCTTTTGATTCCACAAATTAATAATAGGATCCTGGTGCAGGTTATAAAGAAAGAGAATTGAAATAAATATCCAGGATACACCCCTCAGTTTCTATTTTCTGAGGGAAAGATAAACTGCTCCTGGTGTCCGCTGAGAGTCTGATGAGACTTTCCACATCTAAATTTTATTCGCATTACTTTGGTTGGATGAGTAGGTGACAAAAAGAAGCTATTCTACATAAACCTGAGGAACTTGTTTAGTTTTATGTAACACTATTAACTTACAGTCAATAGTACATGCTTCAGGAATGGCTGATGTGGAAATATTATGGATACTATAAAATAATAAATCCAGAATAGAAGGCGTTATTAATACTTACAACTCAACAAGTTTAAGGTTCTGCACTCCTAAGAATTTGTTTATTTTTTTCTGCATGCCCTTCAAAGTTTAAAAGAAAAGGAAAAAATATTAGTCCATTAGTCTGTTACGTAATAAAAGTTAAGTCACAGCTTATTAGCATGAGATCAGAATCAGTGCTGCTCTTGAATACATTTCTCTCCCAAACTGGCTATTATAGAAATCTAAAGGAATCTGCCCTCTCAGTATTAGTTTGCCTTAGAGCAACTTTCTCGATGACTTATGTTCCAGATAACATAAGCTCACTGATTTTAAAGGTGTGCTTGCTCGCTTGCAGGCTATGGACTACAAAACTTACACTACAGTTTCTCAGATTTGTATTATTTTTGTGTTCCTGAAGCTACCAGCAGACTGACTCCCTGCACGCTTGCCTGTACTGTATTTCACTCTATTGCTTGTTTGACAGCCTTGTAATTAATTTTGTAAAAGGCTGTTACTGAACAATACTGATCTAAACAAATAAAGAGCAGGTACCATGACACATGATGGGATGTTTTACCTCTATGATTTTGTCTTGTTCTATGATTCGCTTACTTTCTTCCAATATTTCATTTTTTTCCTAGAAAACAACAAAATGACTTGTCGGAAAAAAGCATCAACATTGGAACAGTAGCACTGGCTAAACTTCAACTTTAAATAGATTCTAGTGAAAAGCTAAAACCAGGGACTTTCTATTAATCCAGTATTCAGCAGGAGTGAGGATTATGTGAACACATCATATGTTTGACAGTCTTTTCAACCCTAGAAGTTGTGGCTGATATCAGCAGTGGAGGGAAACTTGTACAAGTGAAATGTTTGGTAAAAATTGGAAACGGGGTAGAAGGCAGAAGCTGAAGCTAATGTCCATGCTGACGTAAGTGCTTTGATAGAGGAAAACTATTTTAGCAGACCCCAAAGGTTCTATGTAGAAGCAGGCACTGGTATAATTTCTCTCTCATTATCAGTGGAAACTACTAGAACCACATGGATTGTGGAGTCGTGGAGTCTGCAGCTGGTGAGATGCAGAGTGCCCTGATCATAAAAGCATCCTCAGGAGGATGACAGCACACAAAACGCCTGGGGATAGCTAGCAGGGAGCTAAGTGTGAGCCACCTGAAAGCCCCAGCAGCAATGGAGGCCAGCAGCCTTTATGGATAGAAGCACGGCCCATAGGTTGAAGAGAGAGATTATCCATTCCTATTTGGCACTAGTCAGACCACATGTGCACAGTGCATTGCTCTCAATACACGATGGATGTTACTGAGCTGGAGTGAGATCAGAGAATACCCCCAAGGTAGTTATCCAGGTGATCTAGAGAATGCGTCAGCCTCATCCTTGGAGGTTTTGCAGACTCATCTGGATACAACCCTGAGCACTTTGGGTTGAGCTTTGAGCACGAGGTCCCTTCCCATCTGCATTATTCTGTGATCTCATGGCTCTGCTGACTCACAAATCAAGTTACCTTGGTTTATGGAGGCCCCTCCTAAGTAAAACATCTGCTCTTCTGTAACTTAGCATGAAATCACAGACAGATGCGCCATTTCAAAACTCTGCTGGAGACCTTGTTACAACAAATGCTTGCACTTAATTGTTTTGCTGGGAAAAAATAATCTCCTATCTGCATACTGAACAATAAGAAACTATCAGCCAGTCAAAAAGGGAAGGCAGGAAAAGGCATTTGTAAATCAGAATAGTCTATGTTGTTTACTGCTGTGCATTTTTTTTTTTCTTTTTAAAAGTCTTATGATGATTGATGGAATACAGAGGATTTTATTTCCAAGAGGCTGATTCAAATCCCAGCTTCATATTCAGAAACACAATGCCTCATTCACTGGAGGGGCAAACCAAGATACTAACTACTCAAGCGTTCATATTTATTCAGAACCAAAATAGGAGAAGAAAGCTACTGGAATGTGCCACTATTATGCCCACAAAATACACTGATACTCATGAGAGCATACACCATATGCATCTCTTTATGGTGCAGGAACTACTAATTAGTGATGGATTTTGGACAGCTTTGGAAGAGGCCTCAAAGACTCAGTAAGTCCTGAAGTTACACCGACTCATCTGAAAGCCAGGTTTTACATCATCCCAGTGTCAGTGACAGCAATGCTGCAGGCTTTTTTTTTGTCATGGCAGTTACAGCCAGCAAATCTTTGATGGGCCCATGTCTTGACAGAATTGAGCATCACAGAGCTACACTGACATGGTCTTCAGTGCTCTGATGGAAGTCTAAACTTACAGTTGTTAATAATCTTACAATAGACTCTCTCACACTCTTCTTTGTAACTCATGACAATTTCTTTTCTCATAAGGGCATTTTGGTACCTTTATAATGGCCTCTTCCATTTCTTCCATCATTTTCACCAGCTCGTGTAGGCATATCTGTCAAAGGAAAAAGGTTAGGAGTGGGTGAGACTGGGCAAAGTGAGACAGAGGGAGAAGCTGCGAGTTTGGCAAGATGGGAAATGAACACAAATTACTCTGTAAGCTCTGCACATCTCACAGACTATCTGCAGGCTTTCTTAATGTTAACTCCTCTTAGAAAATGATAAATCAAATAATTCCTGTGGCAGTTATTTGTGAATGTTTTACAGTCAAAAGAAGATAGAGGAAGTGCGAGTGTGTGCCTATTCATGCATTCAGCTGACAACTGTTTCCACACTGCAGTTACATGTAGGAACTGCTAGAATAGCCAGCTAAACAGAAAAAAACAAGAGGCCTCTTGCTTGTTTTTACAGCAATTCTGGTCTCAAGTACTTTTGTGAGTATCTAAACTGCAAAGACTTGTGATGAGGAACAGGATTTTTTCTTCTGTGTGAAAAATCCCTAGCATGCCAAATGCCATCCTGGTTAAGAACCCTGCATACCACAGTTTACTTCTGTTTTTATCACTAATCAGGGTATCTTTCAGCTGGTTTCTTCCCCTGAAAATATATTCTTGTGCAAGTTAACCAGACCTTAGGAAATACTGATGTCTTGGTTTGAACATTTCTGTGTGTCAAATCAAAATGTAAAGTGTACATACTACAGATAGTATCAAATGATTAATGGCAAGATATGTTATTTGATCACTTACGTTGAAATGATTCCTGCACTCCAAACACGGAACCTGTTGATGCTTGTGTATGTACATCCACAACTCAGAGTGCTGAAAATAAAAATTAATATTTTTTTTGAAGAAACAATGTAGTGGCAAGCAGTTTTTTTTTTCCCTCCATTTTCTTTATTCAAGGGTTCTTGATTATTCGTAAATTTATGGTTTTGTTAAAAATGATGAAGATTCCCTGTGAGACTTCATTAAGAAATACAACAAAACCAAAATATAAAAATGACTGAAAGTGTGCCACTGCAGAAACTGCCATTTTAGGTATGCTTTCAATCAAGGACATAATTTCCTTTTCAAAAGATGTCTAAATTATTAAGATAACAATAAGAGTCACACAGTGATACTAGAAAGATGAAGGCTGTTTTCAAGGTAAGTCCTCAAATACTTTAAAGTATATTTTCATCATATTTTCAGGTTACCTTCAGTTGTTTGGAAGTTAGAAGTATTTGAAGAGCACAAATAGCTGCTTTTTGTTTTTCTTTCCAGAGCACTATCTTCTTTACAATTAGAAGTAGAGTACCCCTGACCTTACAAGCTGTGCTTCATCGCAGTGCACCAAAATACTTACTGAGAGCACATGATACAGAGGTTGAAATCCATTTTGAATCACCTTGAAAAACTCTGCCAACTGCAGTGAGACCAAGGGAATATAAACAACTTGATCATGGCCTTGCTGTAAATTGGCTGCAGGAACCACAACACTTTGCATGTCCTCAGCCACAGCTACATAAGCAGCCCCCTACAACATGTAATGCCTTACTTTGTTCATTCTGCACTCTGGATCGCTCTTGACCTCTGGAAAAGTGGAGTCCAGATCTTTACTGCTTGTCTCCATCCTTTGATACACAGATGATACCTGAAAACTACAAAATCAGAGACAGGTGAGGGATCACAGCGTGGGTGACTGCTCTGGTTACATGAATAAGGGCAAGGCAGGACCATGAACATTAAAATCTAAATTCAAAATTCACATTACACCTTTTGCTCTACTCCCTCCCCCACCTAAAATGTTTGTTTTATTCAGTTTTGCTTTAATAATAATAATAAAAAAAGCTATTTTATTAAAGCTAACACCAGCTCAATCCCATTTTTGACTGACGAAGTGTTTTGGTGAACATCCCAGAACAGTTTTTCACATTCATCTTTTTCTACACTTTTTATTGTCTAAATTAACCAGAAAGTACATGCACTAAAATTCATAGGAAACAACCTTATCTCACATTTATTTTAGCCTAACAAGAAAATAGGAACTGGACAAAATCTCAAAGAAATAACGTGTTCCCAATTTCTTAGTATACTGGGAAGTACACGCGATTATGTTCAGGCCTCAGTAATGTCAGAAAATATCCACTTCACAATGTTACTATGCGAAATGCTCTAGAAGTTGTTTGCTTTTCACTTTTTTTTGGAAGACACAGCAATGAGCACACCTGTTCAAACACCACTTACCTGTTGAAATGTCTGCTTTCACTGAAAAGCTGACTGTTCTCTGCATGAATTTTAGAATCCATCTTGCTGAGATCTGTCTTCGCCCTTTTTAGTTTCCATAGATAAGGTCACATCTGAAAACAGTATCTTTCCATAAGAAGATGTTTAACAGGAAAATCTGTTGATTTGCATTAAATAGTGTGTCACGCCCCGTCTCCTACAGAGCTGGGCTGAGATACTCAGGTGGACAATACAGCACCCTTTCCCAAGTTCTTCCTATCTGACAGGTCTCACAGCAGGCTCTTGTGTGTTTAATACTACTTTTTTTTTTCCTTCCAGATTTTGAGATGAGCTTGTAGAAAAACAGCCGTTATACCAAGCTCTAACAAAGCAACAAAATAAAATATATTTTGTATTTGCTATGAAACTACAAAAGGCAAACAAAATCTGTTTCAATCTTATTTTAAACCTTAATAATGAAAATGTCAAATTTATTACTTCAATTGTTAAATTTATCTCAATTTCCCATTTTTTGATAGCCTGTTTGGGCATCACAGAACGGCCATGGTTGGAAGGGACCTCGAGGATCATGAATCTCCACAACCCCCCCACCACGTGCAGGGCCACCAACCTCCACATTTAATACTAGACCAGCTGCATAAAGAAGCTCAAAGCTCTCACACAGGATACAAGGGACTTGGACAGAAAGAACCATCCTCATCCAGGTCTTTAACTGGCAGGATCTCACATGCACAGGGCTTTGTACCCATACCTAGAGAGATGCTGCAAGGTCTCTGACAGCGCAGTTGGCCACTGCTCAGTGGTAGGAAGTATGAGTGAGGCTGTGGAACAAGTTTTGGTATTTTTCTTCATCCCAAGCACAAAAGATTTTGCTGCAGTTCTGTAGTCTTTACAGGACAAAATAATCTGTACAAAGGGATCTTCCAGAGGCATTTCTCTGTGATAGCTCTACCACTCTAATTATACAGTTGTGTAATCAATGAATATACGGATGTTACAATTAAGAAATTACACAAGAAATTCATGCTAAATGGGTAATCATACTAGAGAAAAATGGATGGAAAGCTTACCCTTATCCTAAGTTTGCTGAAAAGACTCCAAAAGGAGCAATTGCAGCCAGCACTTAAATGGGGTCTAGGAGAGGTGGAGCAAGTCTCCACCCCTTCCAGTAGCACAGGTGAATTGCCTTCACCTGCCCTCCCAGGGCTGACTCACTGCTCACCTTAGATGGTCAATCAGAGGTTCAGGCCGTGATTCAATAGTTCCCATACAACAGTGAAGGGCTTGAGCACTTTCTCTGGTTTTCATGACAAGATAAGTTAGATATAAAATGAGGGACAGATCTTGGAAAGCTGCCTGTGTGAACACTCTCTAAAATGTGGGACAATCTTAGCTAATTCGAACTTTCATGCTTTGCTCTTAGGAAGGAAAATAATGCTACATCTTCTTCCCTCCTTGAAGCAGCCTTCAATCTCCTCACTGAGGCAAAGAGATAACCTTAGATTTTTTCGTAAGTTTGGTCTCTATTTCCTTTCCTTACAACTGCCCAGAATTCATCAAAATTCTCCACTGTGAAACCAGCAAGCAGAATTGCTAACCAGGTAAGAGCTCACAAAGCAAACAAACAAAAAAAGCAACCAGAATCCTCCTCTACACTTGCACACCATCCTGTCATCAGCCCATCTACATCCCGATGGTGTTAGAGATCTATAACTGAGACCATCTGAAACCTGCTTTGGCTTCTGCAGCTCTAACTTTGGAGCAGTAGGATGATTTCCACCACATCCTTTGCAGGAGGCATTTTCCCCCTTGCAGCCACGTGTTCTCACTGCTGGGGTTTCTTGCCACACAAGCAGACTCTGAGGGCCGTGAGGATGGAGAGCAGCTGCCCTCAGCCCCAGCATAGTCTGGCAGCTTCTCACCCTGCACTCCACAGTACAGGACTTTGCTCTCAGAGGCTGCAGCCTTCATTGGCTCACTAGGGTTGACTACAAAAAGTTGTAAGGTTCATTGGCTTGTTTTTTCAGTTTTCAGTTTCACACTGAAACCTTTCTCCTGCTGGTCATTCTCTCAGGCAGCTGTCATGTCAAGCTGTTCTACTAATTCTCATTGTGCATAGTATATATAATTTATCTGTGCTGGTTCTGCTAGTAAAGCAGCTAAGCCCTTGGGGCAGAAAGGCATTCAGGAAATTAATTTTATAGCATAGGGCTGCCTCATATTCAGGACCCACTTCAACAAAGTACTTAAGCAAAGGAATAATGACTGACTTGAATGAGAATATTAATGCTTAAAGTTAATAATGCACTCTCAGAATTGGGTCTTATATCATGACAATCAAATCATTAATCTATTCCATTACAAGCACCAGTTAACAAATACATGTCCTGGACATTCTTTTCTCAAAAGGGTAAAACGAGGCAGAGAGAGCCTTGAAAAATCTGTGTTCTGTAGTACCATAGCAAAGATCAAAACTGCTGGTTTGCCCCTGCTAACTCCTGCAAAACAGAAAATGCAGCGTGCCAGAACTTCAGTGACAACCAGACAAATGCTTCTAATGAACAAATGGACTATATGTTAAAGAACAAACAAGGAGTTTTTTCCTCCCATGAGGCAATCTCCATGGAATTTAAAAACCAAATTTAAAACTTGGATGTCACATGAATTATGAGATTTCTTGTGTGCATCAAAACAGGCCCAGCAGAAAGTACATCTGAGAGACAGAAACAAGAAACAAAAGAAAGCCAGGACATAGTTTCCAAGGTTATGCAGATAGAGCTAACGATAGTGATTAGAAGTGATAACACAGTCGTAAATCTGAAGCTATCCTGACCCAGACAAAGGCTATAAGTGGGTTCAGAAAAAAATCCTCAGTGCTCATGGACCTGCAAATGAGTTCTTATGGTTTAGTAATTTTATAACTGTTCTTAGACTAACAACAGAGACACCCTAATCAATGTAAACTGTTTCCTCAGTGAGTTCATAGATTAAATCACATGCTTTTATAGTAGTAGACTGCAGTGTAAAAACTTCCAGCTCTTTCAACAAAAGCTGTGTGATGGACAAAAGCTGTGGTGCCCCTGTGGCTGGAGTGGTTCATGTGGCAAGGTACTGGCTCACTTCTTCATTTGCCATGCTACTGCAGAGGACTGCGGTGAGCAACCCAGCTATGCTGTTGTTTTTCAGTCAGGGTCTCTGAGGAACTACAGATAGTAAAGTAAGATGCAGTGCCACATGCTAATATGTGTGATTCAATAACCTGAACAAAATTATTGCTTCTGTCCAGCTGAAGCTGGCATTATTACCACTAGTCCCCAGGTGAATTATTCATTTTAAACAGAAGAACAATTTTGCTGTTGTTAGCGTTGCTATTTTAGACTTAGCACGTAGCCTGCTTTTGTGGTCCTTTCCATTTTAGAGGTGTCCTCCATGTTAGATTCTAGAAACAGTGCTGCAGTGTGGTAAGTCTTTTTTGAAAGTCTACTGCAAAATGGAAGCTAGAAAGCAGAGCTGGCAGATCTTTAAGGAAACTTTCCCTAGGGAACAAGAGCTCTCCTTTCCCAAGCGTAGGAAGTCAGGAAAGGAAGGCAAGAGACCAGCATGGATGAACCATGACCTGCTGGTCAAATTGGAGAGCAAGAACAAAACGCATAGGCAGTGGAAGCAGAAACAGGTAACTGGGAAGAGTACAGGGATGCTGCTAGGCTGTGTAGGGATGGGCTCAGAAAGGCCAAGCCCCATCTGAAATTGGGCTTGGCAAAAGGGGTGTGAAGAAGAAAGGCCTCTCAGTTACATCAACCAAAAAGGAAAGTCCAAGAAGGCATATCACCCTGTAATGAGCAACACAGGCAGGCTAATAACAATGGACAAGGAGAAGGCTAGCTACTCAACAACTATTTTGCCTCAGTCTTCTCTTGCAGCTGCTCCTCACACACCCCTTGAGTGGGTGATTTGGAAGATGGAGATGGGGAAGCAATGCTCCTCCCACTGTAGGTGAGGATTTCAATTTTAGCTATTATAGCTGAAGTAAAATATGTTCAAGCTGAGTGTTCAGTGTGGCGTATAACTTAAAGTAGCTCAACAAAAGTACCAGTCTGAACTTTCCATTTATCAGATCTCCTAGAACTGTCGCCATAAAAATATGAAGGTAAGGGAGATACAGTCTTCAGACTGCACATCCCATACTGATCTGGGCAGCTCAAGCAGCTTTTGGTGGCTGTAGTGTCATCTCTCCCTGCTTCTCCATCCTTCTAGTACTTAGCAAATAAAAAATGCTCTATCTCAAACAGAGGAATCTGACTCAGACAAATCTAGATGGGGAGAGCAAAACTTCTGCTCAGTTTTCTCGCTTTCCTGATTTCTGAGTGCCTGATTTTGCAGTCTCAGTGGTGTCATATTCTTGACTTCATGTCTTTACTTCTAATTTCTTATTTTCTGCTTTGTGTTCCTTTACACGTTATGGCTATTTTCTTTCTGTTACATCACTGTCTTTTTACAGACAACACACTTTACTTACTCTGTGAAAGTACAGAGCTGCCACCCACAACAGCTCACAAGACAGTTGCTTCCTCCAGACGGAGGTGAAATCTTGTGGCTTCCAGTTGCATCAAGGCAAGCTTACTGACTGTCCTGAGGTGCAGTTGTGTGTCCTATCACAGCAGCCGAATGGTCATTTGCATCTTGTTTATCCATCTTGCTTGTATATGGGTAAGTAACCCTAAATCTGATTTCATCATTGTTCCACATTTAGTATGAGTTTTCACTATTTATTAAATGATATTTTTAAAAAATTCTCTGTTGTTTCCAAGTCTGCTTGCACAAAAAAGAATGTCTGCCATGAATGCTCATAGTGGACACATGCAACTTGTTTTAAGCAGATGCAGTGCTTAAAGAACATTGTTTTTCCTTCCATGTGATTGGAAAAACTTATTTTCCTATAATATTCTTTCCTTAAACTAGACTTGGCGACCATGATAACCACATGCCAGAAACTGAACTTACAAGGAAAGGCTGAGGAACTGGGTCTCTTTAGCTTGAAGGAGACTGAGGGGTGACCTCATTAATGTTTATAAATATATAAAGGGTGAGTGTTAGGAGGATGGAGCCAGGCTCT